ACACCACACACACCAGCCAACCACACCCACACCCACACACCTCTCCATCTTTGGTTGTCCATCAGCCCGCATCAACATCAGCGACGACGAACACCCGGGCGTCATCAGGATCAGCGGTGCGACCACGGCACAGGCCAGGCCAGGCCAACGAGGCCCGCACTCTGTCGATGTGCGTATGTGTGTTCTTACGTGTGTGCAGGTATACGTGCGGCCATCGACAGGGCCATGGTGCTCTGCGAGAAGATCAAAGCGGGCGGCCGCATCGAAACAGAAGGTGAGCAGAGCAACTGAAACACACACACACACACACACATCCATCCATCCCCCTTCCTCTCTCTCTTCTTCCCTCCCTCTGTGTGTGTGTGGGTTTAGAGGGCGGCGGCGATGGTAAGGTCGAGGAGGTGTTCCAGATGACGTCTGAGGGCGAGACCGGCAAGTACGTTGGCAATGGCGGCTGCGTCATCAACCAACTCAAGGACCTCTGCCAACCACTCGGAGGTAGGTACATACCTGCCTGCCTGCACACCTGCCAACGCGCACACCTTCACACCTGCCTAACCAACCATTACACACACATTGTGTCGTGTGTCGTGCGCGTGTCTGTGTGTGTGCAGAGGTCCGTATCGACACGCCCAAGAGGGGCACCGGCGACACAGGCGTCAAAGTTGCCGGTGCGTCAGCCAGCGGTTGACCAAGCCACCTCCCTCTCCCTCCGTCTCCCTCACTCCCTCATTTGTGTGTCTGTGTCTGTGCTGTGGCTGGCAGGCCCGAAGGATGCCGTGGCTCAGTGTCTCAAGTACCTGCAGATGATCAAGAACGGCCAGAAACTCCCAGACGAGCCCGAGCAGCCCTCCGGTCCGTTCGCACCACAATCCCTCACACACACGGGCGACACACATGGCCGTGTGTATGTGTGTGTGTATGTGTGTGTGTGTGTGCGTGTCGTCAGGTGGCTTTGGCGGCGGTGGTTGGGGCGGCAGTAGCTCTAGTGCAGCTGCAGCAGCAGGGGGCGGCGCACCCCGATTTGGCGGACCTGAGACAGAGACCACATTCCAACTGGAGTCATCCGTAAGACACAAAGACACACACTCCCACACGACTACACACACGCCCACAGCCAGCCAGACAGACAGACACACCGACACACAGGGGTATGTGTGTGTCTTCGTGTGTCTGGTGCAGGAGGCTGCTGGTCGGTACATCGGCAAGGGAGGTCAGATGGTCAAGGAGCTGCGCCAGCGATGCGGTGGAGATGGTACAGACACACCACACACACAGACAGACGGTTTGTTGGTGGGAGGACATGTTGCGCCGGGCTGTGCTGGGCTGGGCTGTGCGTCGGGCAGATGTCATCCAGATAGAGTTTCCAGATAGAGACACGGGCAGCGACCTCGTCAACATCAAAGGTCACCACACACACACACACACAGACAGAGAGAGAGACACAGAGAGAGAGAGAGACAAAGCAATCTGCACAAACCAACGCCTTGTGCGTGTCGATGGCCTGCATGTTATGTGCACATGGCAGGGCCGAAGGAGGCGGTCGACCACATGGTGGAGCTGCTCGAGATGATCAAGAACCAAGAGAAACTACCCCCCTGGGACCCGCC